AACACCATCAGTAAGAAAAATGGCAGCCTACAGAATGGGAAAAGATTTTCACCAACTCCACAAGCGATAGAGGGCTAAGTTCCAAAATATATAAAGAACTCAAGAAACCAGACTTCAATGACCCAAATGATCCAACTAAGAAATGGGGTACAGATCTAAACAGAGAATCCCCAATAGAAGAGTTTCAAATGGCCGAAAAGCACTTAAAGAAAAGATCAACACCCTTAGCTATCAGGGAGGGAAACACAAATCAAAACGACTCTGAGATTCTGTCTTACACCTGTCAGAGTGGCTAAGATTAATAACACAAGTAACAATTCATACTGGCAAGGATGTGGAGAAAGGGGAACATGCCTCCATTGCTAGCAGCAATGTAAACTCGCAGACACTGTGGAAATCAATTTGGCAGTTTCTTAAAACGTTGGAAACTGATCTACCTCAAGACCCAGCTTGGGCATATACCCAAAGGACTCTCCATCTTACCACAAGGACACTTGCTCAACTGTGTTCATAAAGGTTTTAGTCATAATAGTCAGAAGCTAAAAACCACCTAGATGTCCTTTAACCGAGAATAAATAAAGAAAATAAGGTACATTTACACAATGGAGTGCTACACAGAAGTTTTTTAAAAATGCCATCATGGTGGAGAGGTGGTGGCACACACCTTTAATCCCAGCACTCGGGAGGCAGAGAAAGGTAGATCTCTGTGAATTCAAAGTCAGCCTGGTCTATGTGAGCTAGTTCCAGGACAGGCTTCAAAAACATTAATAATAATAATAATAATAATAATAATAATAATAATAATAATAATAATAAAACGAAATCATAAAATTTGGAGGCAAATGGATGGATCTAGAGGAAAAAATCCTAAAAGAGTAATCCAGCCCATAAAGACAACCATGGTGTGTACTCATTCATATGTCGATATTAGCTGTTAAGTAAGTGATAGCCATGCTACACTCCACAGACCCAGAGATGCTGAGTAACAAGGAGGGCTAAAGAGGGGACAAATGGATCTTCTAGAAGGAGGAAATAGAACATATTTTGCAGATGAACTGTGCAGGTGGGGGTGGGAGCAGATGCAGAGGCCCATAGCCAAACATTAGGCAGAGAAAGAAAGCCCGAGTTGGAAGTCTCCACTGTGTCCCTCTTGGAGATTGGAGAACCCCATGTAACAGGGGAGGAGGAATTGTGGGAGCCAGAGAGCAAGACCTGTGTAATCAACTAAGCAAGACTCTTGGGGCTCACCGAGACTGAAGTAACTATCAGGGAGCCTGCATGGTTCTGCACTAGGTCTTCTGCATATGTTATGTTTGTTGACTTGGTGTTGGCAGGGGACTCCTGACAGTGGGAACAGAGGTGTCTGACTTTTTTCCTGACTTGAACACCCTTTCCCTCCTTCTGGTTGCCTCATCCAGCCTTGACGTGAGGTTTTGTGCCTGGTCTTATTTTATCCTGTGGGGTTATGTTCAGCTGATATCCCTGGGAGGCCTGATCTTTTCTGGGGGGAGATGGGAAAGGCCTAGTGGATCTGGAGGAGAGAAGAGGTGGGAAACTGGGAAGAGTGAAGGGAGGGGAAGCTGCAGTCAAGGATGTATTGTACGAAGGAATAAATAAAAATTAAAAAACAAACTAGACAATGAGAGGGGAGCATGGGGGATCTGGAGGAGTTGGAGAAACAGTCTTGACATTGGGAGGGGATTTGAGGGATCTGGAGGAGTCGGAGTGGGTGGTAAGGATGAATATGATCAAATGCATTGTACATATAAATAAAATTCTCAAAGAATAAATTTTAAAAATTTAAAAGATCTCTCTAGGTGCTGGAGAGATGGCCCAATAGTTGAGAACACGGTCTGCTCTCCCAGAGGATTCAGGCTCAGTTGAGAACACCATCTGCTCTCCCAGAGGATCCAGGCTCAGTTGAGAACACTGTCTGATCTCCCAGAGGATCCAGGCTCAGTTGAGAACACTGTCTGCTCTCCCAGAGGATCCAGGCTCAATTCCTAGCTACCACGGAGTAGCTCAGAACTGTCTGTAACTCCAGTTCCAGGGACTCAGCATCCTCGCACAGTTATACATGCAGAAAAAAAAACCAACGCAATAAAAATAAAAAATAAATCAATCATTTTTTAAAAAATCTCTCTAAGGGGCAGGAGAGCTAGCTCATCAGTCAAGGCCACTGACTTTTCCGGAAGACGCACCCACATAGTGGCTCACAGCTGCCTATAATAACTGCAGTTCCAGGGGATGGAGCTGCTTCTTCTAACTTCCATGGACACCTACATGCTGTGTATACAGACAAGCTGGCAAACCAATCACACACATTAAAAAAAATACTTTATTGTTAGAATTCAAACAACTGAGCTATATTATTCAGCTCAGTTTGTAGTGCTTGCCTGTTCTTCATGAAGCCCAGGATTTGATCCAAAACACTGCATCAAACAAGTTATAGGGGTGCATACAACCCCAGCACTCAGGAGGTGGAGGCAGAGGGGCCTGGGGTTCAAGGTTATCAGCTATGGAAGGAGGTCAAGACTAGTGTGGGTACAAGAAATCTTATCTCAAAAAAAATGGTGGTTTATCTCTAAATGTCATGGTTCACACCTGTAATCCCAGCCCTTGGAGGACTGAGGCTGGAAGGCTGCTGTGAACTGAGGCCAGCCTGGCCCGTGGCATGAGAGCTTATTCCACGGAACAGGCTGAGGTGAGCACCGGGAGGTAAAAGCGCTGCCCCGAGCCTGATGACCTCAGGCTGGCCTCTGACCACCGCTCGAGTGTGCACACTCACCATGTACACACAATGCCGGTTAAATCCCTAAGATGATACAGTAATAAGCAAGCAAAATATAATCTACAATTTTAAAGATAAAACATTCAACAACTGCACACTGAACTTAAAAACCATATAAGTCAAAACAAATGCCAAGAGAGAAATAGGCCGCTAATGTTGCGTCTTTATTACAAAATACAAATTCCCAGAATCACATTAAACCTCAGTGTGGGGTTTTTGTTTGACTTTTTTTCTTCCTGTTCAGTAAAGCCCATCCCAGGCTCTAGCATCTCTGTTGGAATCGGCACATCCTCATGATTGTCATTTCATGTGAAGGTTTGTGTCTGGCACTCGGTTCATAGATGCTGGGCTCCTACCTCCCTTGGGGGTAGAGACCTCCTGGAAAATTGGAGTGGGGGCATCAACAGAAAGAGAGATCAGGACAGGAAAGAGAGGAAGAGGCTGCCGGAGGTCATGATCAGGAGGGTGGTGCTCCACTAATGAGGGGTGGTGCTCCACTAGGGAGGGTGATGCTCCACTAGGGAGGGATGGTGCTCCACTAGGGAGGGGTGGTGCTCCACTAGGGAGGGTGATGCTCCACTAGGGAGGGGGTGCTCCACTAGGGAGTGATGGTGCTCCACTAGGGAGGGTGATGCTGCAGTAGGGAGGGTGATGCTCCACTAAGGAGGGGTGGTGCTCCACTAGGGAGGGATGATGCTCCACTAAGGAGGGGTGATGCTCCACTAGGGAGGGGTGATGCTCCACTAGGGAGGGTGATGCTCCACTAGGGAGGGGGTGCTCCACTAGGGAGGGGTGGTCCTCCACTAGCCACTCAGTGTCCCATTTCCCAAAGATTTAGGAGCCACCCACCTCTGGTCCTGGCTCTTGGCCTCTTTTTCCATTAGCAGGTTGCCCTGCCCAGCTGTGTCATCCATGTCTGGCTGTGCCGGCTGAACCAGGGTACCTGGTGGGGGAAGCCTGCTTCCCTGCCTCCTGCCGACCCTGTATGGGGGCCAGGAGTGAATCCTGGGTGTTAACCACAAATGGTCTTGTCTCCCCTGCCCAAATGACAGGAAGAGGGACACAGAAATGACAGAAAGGGATAGGAAACCAATATTCAGAGATGAGAGACAGAGAGAAAAGGAGAGAAAAGAAAGACAGACAGGGAGGGAGAGAGAAAAAAAAAAAAAAACAGAGAAAGCCAGAGACAGACACACAGAAAAAGAAAAATCAGAGAGGCAGAGCAAAAGAGCGACAGTACAGACACCAAGAGAACCAGTGACAGAGAGAGACGGGATGCACGGGAGGTAGAGACAGAGAGAAACGGGGACAGAGAGATGGGGAAAGAAATGCTGACAGACTCACTGGGTGTCAAATGTTGACAGACTCTGTGAGGTCCTGTGAGGACTGACAGCTAGCTCACAAGGTAGAATTTTAAAGACAGACAAAGCTGGGAGGAGAGATGAGAAAGGAACCACAGGAGCAATGAGTGAGTGAATGTGGCATAGGAGTCCTTGCTCCAGAAATCAGGAACCCTTGCTCCAGAAATCAGGAACCCTTGCTCCAGAAGAGCAGCTCTGAGCTGGTGAGAAGCCAGGTGCCAGGAGAGCCTCCTTGCCCTGAGGACCCCTCCCCATCCTTGGGGCCAGGGAGGGAGGGAGTGGCACTAGGCACTGGGTGGGGGGTGTTCTGGGGGTGGAGGGGAGGGGAGACCGGAAGAGTGAGTGCTGGGGCCCAGACTGACAGGAACCTCAGTGCCAGGGAATGTGCCCCAGGGACCAGTGGGTGGTTATATCACCTGGTGCCAAAGCAGAGGAGGAGGTGGCAGCTGGAAAGCTCAGACCAGCCTGAGAAGTCTGCAGCTATATTGGGAGCCAGACCCCACTACCCACTGCCCAGGGGACCCAGGGACAGTGGCAGGTGAGGCCTGGGGAGGGGGGTCTCAGCGAGTAAGGGAGGAGAGAGGCTGGGGCTGGGGCTGGCTCTGTCTTATCTTGGTTTCACCCTGCCTGTCCTAGCTATCCACACTCAAAGGAGTGTAAGATGCTTGCAGTCCTCCCCTGCACTGCTGGCCCCTGGGTGCTAAGAGTGAGGCTGTCCAGCCCCTGTGATCAATGTCTTCTAGGGAAACTGAGCAGAGAAGGCCAGGAAAGTGGATCAGAACTCTCTCCAGAGCAGGCCTCTCCAGAATCACCTATGCCTCTCCAATTTCTTACCAGATGCAGCGGTCATGGCGAGGGTAGTGCATCCTTGGAAGTGGACGGTGGCAACCCTGATTGCAACCCTGATTCTGGGGGTCTCAGGTAACTAGAGTCCCTAAGTGTGTGTGAGGGACTGCCTCTGTGGACCAGGTGAATGTGTGGTCGTGTCTGTGTGGTTACACAATTGAAAATGGGCCCCATAGCTGTGTGAACTGGGGAGAAGGCGAGGGCTTCTATTTTTATTATTTATTTATTTATTTTTGAGTCAGAATCTCACCATGTGGTTCAGGCTGGTCTAGAACTCACTATCTAGACCAGGCTGACCTTGAACTTGTGACCACTCCTCTCATACCTGACTCCTAAGGGCTAGGATTGCAGCTGTATGCCATCATGTGTCTTTGCTTTGGTTTTGTTTTGGTTTTTTATTTATTTTATGGTATTAGTATGAATTTTGCATTAAGCATGCCTGGTGCCCAAGGAGGCCAGAATGGGCGTCAGCTCTCCTAGAACTGGAGATGCAGGTAGTTGTGAGCCGTCATTGTACCCAGGTCTCCTGCAAGAGTAACCAGTGTTTTTAACTGCTGAGCCTTCTTCCAGGCCCCTTATTTTTAGTTTTTGAGACATAATGTCACTTTGTAGCCCAAACTAGTCTAGAACATGCTCTGTAGCCTAGACTGCCCTGGAACTCCGAAGCCCTTGTCAGTCTTCCTGCTTCAGCCTCCCAAATTCTGGGTTACAGGTGTGAGCTAGTGTGAGTGGCTCGTGTGTGGTCTCTTTCCCATCAAGTGGCTGTGCGTGGCAGACAGTGCTAACCTTCGGAGGCTTTGTGACCAGTTTGGTGCTGCAACGGTGTGGGTGCACACTCCAGATTGGTGCAAATGCTACTGTGCATCTGGCCCGGGCTGTCTCTTTTTTAAAATAAATATTTATTTATTTATTTATTTATTTATTTATTTATTTTATTATGCATACAAGATTCTGTCTGTGTGTATGTCTGCAGGCCAGAAGAGGGCACCTCATTACAGAGAGGTTGTGAGCCACTATGTGGTTGCCAGGAATTGAACTCAGGACCTTCGGAAGAGCAGGCAATGCTCTTAACCGCTGAGCCATCTGTCCAGCCCCCCTGGGCTGTCTCTTTTGCACCCCAGTCTCTATGTCTGGAATGCGGTGCAGTTCCGCTCATCACATGACCCTAGTGTTTGCAGACAATCCTTTTTACGTGTGAGGGTGTGTCTGTGACAGTACTTGTGATCTTTACACTTGGGGGGCTGTGTGTTTGTGAGGCTGTGAGCGCAGCTGGATGTGTGCTCATGCAGCTGTATCTAGGGTTCCTGACCCTGCTTCAAGGAACGAAGTGAGAAGTGAGTGGAGAAGGTGGGCAGCCACTGGAATGATTCTCTTGCACTGTGCCAAGCTGGAAAGAGAATATAAATGTTTTTTTAAGTATGACATGTCAATGTGCCCATGTGCAGAAGTGTGTGCTGTGTTCCCATCCACACGTGCCTGCCTGTCACTTAGAGGCTGGTCAGGTGTATGAGCTCCTGAGAGACCACCTGACACTGGGGGGGGGGCGGGTGCACTGGGGCACAATAAGTGTGTTCCTTGGAATGTGCCTGTGGGTGTATAGAACACTGAGGCCTCCCTTCTCTGGGTCACTAGCAGAAACATGACCAGCGTCTGGCCTATGGGGGATGGGGGGTAGCGACAGAATGCATACCCGTCTTTGCAGGAATTCAAAAATGACCCTTGCTGTATTCCTCCAGTCCCCTTTTTCTGTCCCCCCCCCAAGCTCCATCCAAGAACTCTGACTCCACCCACTGTCCTCAACCGAGTCCCCAGAGCCTCGTCTTTTCACTAGGCTCAACCTTGCTGTAGGTAGCTCCAGAGCTCAGCTCCACCTTCCAAAGTCAGGGCTCTTTGTGGGACTGATCACATCAAGGAACCTTGGCCTTTCCTCTTTCTAAATTCCAAATCCTCAGCCTCCCAGGTCTTAAAGTTGCCATCCTGGTGCCTCAGCATCCTGAATAGGTGGGTGACAGGCTTGTGACACTGGGCTTGGCTTGACTGCACTTCTGGAAACTAGATACCAAGCCTCAAGCCAACTGTCTTAAGGGCTCTTGTGCCCCCAGGGTACTCTCCTCCTCCCCAGGTAGCATCAACCGAGCTCCAAGCAATGTCAGGAATCCCTGAGGCTCCCAAAGTCCATGGAGCCCAATAGAACTAGGAATCTGTCCTAAACCCCAACTCCCTGGCTGAGTTGCCTTTCCGCTAGTTCTACAAGCTCCTTCCCTGCAGCCTTGACCCTGCCCACACAATTCTGACCCCGCCCCTAAAGATCGGGCCACACCTGACTGACCTGGCCCCACCTCTACCGTCTTTGTCCTACCCTTCCGTCCTAGCCTCACCCCTGCAACTCTGTTATCTACATTCTAGGACCCAGTCCTTCAGCCCTCGCCCAGTCCTATAACCTCACCTCCAAGTTGAAATTGGTTCCAATTTCTTATCTAAGAGCTTGGGGTGGGCAGTTGGGTTGGTACCAGTTCCTGACTCTGAAAGAGTACCCCTGCATCAGAGCCCCGCCCCAGCCCATTCTCCACCGACTCTTCCTAGAGCCTGTTCTTGCGGACGACGTTTCCGCTTGTGACAACCCCTCCGGCAACCGGCCCTCTGGGACTAACCGAGACCTCAGCAGGGAGTCCCAGTCAGAGGAGGACTCCAGGTCGGATAGCAGCAATCGCATCGTGAACGGGTCAGACTGTGATAAGGACAAGCAGCCGTGGCAGGGCGCGCTGCTGCTGGGACCCAACAAGTTGTACTGTGGGGCGGTGCTGATCAACCCACAATGGCTGCTCACAGCAGCGCACTGCAGAAAGCCGTGAGTACAGCTGAAGAAAGGGGGATGGGAGGAAGCTGGGGACTATGGAAGGAGCAGGAGAGCAGACATCTGAGGAGGAGACTGGGAAGGAGCGGAGGAAGGGAGGAGGGAGGGAGGGAGGGAGGGAGGGAGGGAGGGAAGGAAGGAAGGAAGGAAGGAAGGAAGGAAGGAAGGAAGGAAGGAAGGAAGGAAGGAAGGAAGGAAGGAAGGAAGACTGGTAAAGTTCATAGATGAAAGACGGAAGAAGGAAGATGGGTGGAAGGAAAGGATTCGTGGATGGATGGGCGTTTGGAAGGCGGATGGAAGGATGAAAGGATGGGAGGATAGATGGACACAACAGCATGAGGGTTGATCTGGGATCTGGGCATGGAGGTAAGGATAGGTGGAATTAAACGCCAAAAGGGGTAGAGATAGATAAAGACTGCAATAGAGGTAAAAGGAGAGAGACAGAGGTGTAAAGATGATATAGACATAGACATGTGGACCGGAGGTGAGACTGGGACCCACGAAGACAAAGATGAGGTTGGGAAGGGGCTGGGTATAGGGCATTGGAGACTGGCATTGAACCTGGCTGGGTGGGCGATGGAGTGGAGTTTGAGAGATGCATGTGCATGGTTCTAGCTTGGGAAGAGTGCTGTTGGGGTTGGGCACACATACATTGATGGTTTAGGGTAAGATGGATTTAGGATTGGATCTAGAATGAAGGATAGTGGGAAGTGTGTTGGGTAGAGAGAAAGAGTTGACAGAGTTGAGGCCAGGACCAGATATAAGACAGATGGTGTGGTTGGGTTTGTTTATGGAGTGAGGAATGGCTAAACACTTTGGGGTTGATTTATTGTTTTATCGTTATTTTACTGTTTTTGAGAAAAGGTCTTGTGCAGGCCAGACTAGCTGTGTAGCCAAAAATGACTTTGAACTCTGATCCTCCTGCCTTCATCTCCTAGCCTGTGTTTCCAGGCCCGGATGAGATGGTTACATTGGGTGCAGAGGATGATTTGATTATAGGCAAGACATAAACAACCTAAGACATAGACTTGGGGTGGAGAATGCTCATGCTGATAGTTGCCAGAGGGTACACACTCAGGAGGCATTTATGTGGAAGATAGAATGCAGATGGACCGGAGCTGTGGTGGGGATGGGGGTGCACACATGGTGCACATAGACCAGGAGCTGTGGTGGGGATGGGGGTGCACACAGGCTGCACATAGACCAGAGCTGTGGTGGGGATGGGGGTGCACACAGGGTAGAGACGGATAGAGTACAGTTAGGGGTGATGAAGGTATGGAACTGGGTTCAGAATGGGTAGAGCTGGGATTAAGACTGAAATAGAGTTGGGTGAGAACAGGATTAAGTTGTGGATGAGGACGGGAGGTTCTAAGGTTGAGGATGGAATGAAGTTGGGTGAAAATGGATAACATTGGGGTTGAGGATGGGTTAGAGTAAGGATGGGAACTGCCTTGGACAGGTGGTCAAAGTTATGGGCTGGCAATGATCGTCGCCACATTCCTCAGAGTCTTCAGAATCCGTCTGGGCCACCACTCCATGTCACCTGTCTACGAGTCCGGTCAGCAGATGTTCCAGGGAATCAAATCCATCCCCCACCCTGGTTACTCCCACCCTGGCCACTCCAATGACCTCATGCTCATCAAAATGAACAGAAAAATCCGTAGTTCTCGCTCAGTGACGCCCATCAAAATTGCCTCTAGCTGTCCCACCGCGGGGACCAGATGCATGGTGTCTGGCTGGGGGACAACGAGCAGCAGTCACAGTGAGTACACTGCTTCTTCCTGATTCCTGCTCTTCCGGCTATCCTGGAACTCTGCATCTTCCTGTCACCATCTCACTACGGTGTGGACCGCGGGCTTGCACAAGCCTGCCCAGTTGTGCCCCCCTCTCACCCTCTGCCCGTCACGATGCTCTTGTTCCACAGATAACTTCCCCAAAGTCCTCCAGTGCCTGAACGTCACTGTGCTAAGTGAGGAGAGGTGCAAAGACTCCTACCCAGGACAAATAGACAAGACCATGTTCTGCGCTGGTGATGAAGAGGGCAGGGACTCCTGCCAGGTAAACACTGGGTGCCGCTCCGTCTATCCAGAAGCATGGCTGCCATTTATGTATTTTATTTGTGTGTGTACACTTGTGTCGCGGTGTGTGTGTGGTGGTCGGGGGGACAACACACAGAGGTCAGTTCTCTTCCTCCACTATGTGGGTTCTCAGGATTGGACTCGGGCCATTGGGCTCGGCAGCTAGCACCGTTACCACTGAGCCACCTCATCAGCCCAGCGAGTGCCCACAGATCGCCTGGACTGTATTAACTCCCAGGACCCTTACTTTCATAGAGTTCACCCTCCCAAGTACTCTTCTCTGATGGACACTCATCTTGAACCTCCACATTCAGTTTTCGGTTTTCATATAGGAAAAAAATTAAATTTAAAGAAGTGGGGCGTGACTTGTTATCTCAGATATGTGGGAGGCTGATCAGGAAGGATGAAAGCCAAGTGCCAGCCTAGGCTACAGCGTAAGTCCAAGGTTGGCCTGAGCAGTGTGAGACGCCTTCTCAAAACAAAAAGTGAAGCTAGGGGAGCTAGGGGTGTGGTCAGTGGTAGAGTCCCTGCCGAGAACCCCCCAGTGAGGGCCTGCGAGTGTGGTCAGTGGTAGAATCCTTGTATAGCATGCTACAAGGCTTGAATTCTATCTCCTGCCTCACAAAACAGTAAATAAATAACTAAGGAGGTGGGATTAACATTAATAGTATATTATACTTAATTAATATGTCATCTCTCTATGTTCTCAAGTGACATTTTCAGAATTTAGTTAATATAGAACAATTATTAATATACCACTCACACACACATCTAACACACAATGCCTTTTGCCCTGAAAATCCATCTCAGTTTGCTAGATATAATCAACTACCCCATCGCAGTTCAGATCTGGAAACGAGACGGCAAGGCTGTTCCTTGTGGTCAAAAAGGTTGTGCCCTGCACAAAGGTGCTACACCTCAGGAGGTCCCCTTTACATAATGGCTGTCATAATTCTGTCTCCAAGCCTGTGATGGGTAAAGCAGAATTCACTAGATGATAGTCTTCTAATAAATGCTAATAAAATGTCACGAGAAAGAAAAAAGAAACCTTGCTTTAAGTGTTTTAAGAAGAGCGTCTAGGAAGTGCCGAAGAAGCAGAAAGAAAACACAGAATCCTATGGTCAGGACTAGAGAGGTGGCTCAGCCATTAAGAGCACTGGCTGGTCTTCCAGAGATCCCAAGTTCTGTTCCCAGCACCCACATCTGTAACTCCAGCACCAGGGAATCTGACACCTTCTTCTCAGGTACCTGCACTCACATACATATACCCACACACAAATTCACACATGTACACACAATACAGTGGATCTCCACCTGTGGGTCGTGACCCTCTGGGGTCAAAGGACGCTTTCACAGGACTCACCTAAGACCATCTTGCATGTCAGCTTTTTGCAACTCATAACAGTAGCAAAATTGCAGTTCTGAAGTAGCAACAAAAATAATTTTATGGTTGGGGGTCATTACAACATGAGGAACTGTATTAAAGGGTTCAGCATTAGGAAGGTTGAGAACCACTAATTTTTTTTTTTCGAGATAGGGTTTCTCTGTAGCTTTGGTACCTGTCCTGGAACTAGCTCTTGTAGACCAGGTTGGCCTTGAACTCACAGAGATCCGCCTGCCTCTGCCTCCCGAGTGCTGGGATTAAAGGTTTGCACCACCACTGCCCCGAGAGAACCACTAATTTTACATGAGAAAAATAAATCTTTTTGAAACTGACAGTAACGACTTTTAGAAACTCCTTTGGTTGAGACACTTTACAAATAGTGCTGTTTCAGGAAGCTCTATGGAGTCACAGAGAAGACAACACAAGTCCAGTCTTTGTGGTGGATGTCGGGAGGACTTCCTTAGTCTGGATGTTATAGGCAGAGCATAAAACTCCCGGAGCCAGACTCGCACAGGCTAAGGGCCCAGAGAAGTCCTGTGCAAATGCAGCAAGGGAGCAGCTGGTCTGACTTAAAGACTGGAAAGGAATCAATATTTCTTGGGTACAGTTATGGGGGAAGGTGGATAGCAGCTGGTGCATCTCTGAGGTTTGCTGGCCAGCCGGCCTACTGGATCAGTAAGCTCCAGATCACTGAGGCTGTCTTCCGAGCTCCACGTGTACACACACACACACACACACACACACACACACACCAGCAACAATAACAACAAACAGCTGCAAGACCTGCAAGACCGGCTGTGCTAATAAAATCACTGTGGCGCCTGATTGCGGGCTGGCTTCCTCTCATGTCTCTAGCTCAGGCAGTAGCTCTTGTGAACCTTGGTTTCCAGGCTCAGAGAAATTGACTAGTGGGCTTTCAGAGAAAACCACTGAGACAGCATCTAGGCCTGTTAGCATAGGACTGTCATCCCAGGTATTCAGAAGGTTGAGGCAGGAGGATCACAAGTTCCAGCCCAGCCTGGCCCTGTCTCAAAACAAACAGCAGAAATAAACAGGAGGAGGAGAAAGACAAGGAGGGCAGGGGAGAGTAACGACAGAAAAAGTTAAATGCTAACAATGTCTTCTCTCTCTCTCTTTATCTCTGTCTCTCTCTGTCTCTCTCTCCTCTCTCTCTTTCTCTGTCTCTCTCTCCTCTCTCTTTCTCTGTCTCTCTGTCTCTCTCTCCACTCTCTCTTTCTCTCTCTGTCTCTCTCTGTCTCTCTTTCTCTCTGTCTCTCTCTCCTCTCTCTCTTTCTCTCTCTGTCTCTCTCTGTCTTTCTCTCTCTGTGTCTCTCTCCTCTCTCTTTCTCTCTGTCTCTCTGTCTCTCTCCTCTCTCTGTCTCTCTCTCTGTCTCTCTGTCTCTCTCCTCTCTCTGTCTCTCTCTCCTCTCTCTTTCTCTCTGTCTCTCTGTCTCTCTCCTCTCTCTGTCTCTCTCTCTGTCTCTCTGTCTCTCTCTCCTCTCTCTCTTTCTCTCTGTCTCTCTCTCCTCTCTCTCTCTGTCTCTCTCTGTCTCTCTCTCCTCTCTCTCTTTTTGTCTCTCTCTTTTTCTCTGTCTCTCTCTTTCTCTCTGTCTCTCTCTCTGCCTCCCTGTCTCTCTCTCCTCTCTCTCTCTCTCTCTCTCTCTCTCTCTCTCTCTCTCTCTCTCTCTCTCTCTGCCTCTCTGTTTTATCTGCCTTGAATCCTGTCTGTCCTCTCCCCCTTTCCATACCTGCTTCCTGTGTCCCAACCCTTCTGCATCAATGCATGGTGCTGGTGTCCGGTTCCTTCTCATTCTACCTGATCACACCCCTGCCCCCTTCTGTGTGCCTCCACTCTTCCCCAACAGGGTGATTCCGGGGGCCCTGTGGTCTGCAATGGCCAGCTGCAGGGCCTTGTGTCCTGGGGTGATTTCCCCTGTGCCCAGCGGAACAGGCCAGGTGTCTACACCAACCTATGTGAGTTCGTTAAGTGGATTGAGGACACCATCAAATCCAACTCGTGAGCCAGCATCATCCCACTACAGTGACAAGCACAGCCATTGAGGATGCTGCAGACAGGCCATGTTTTATGTCTCCTGACATCAAGATCCTCGTCCCAAATGGTGGACTGGCTCTGTTCCTATAGCCAGACCCCAGGGACACTTCCTGGAATGACATGGGTTGAAACCCATCATCCTCAGTAAATCAATACACAAACCCAGAGTTGAGCCTTTTCTGCAGCTATAACCCAGGTTTAGACCCAGAAATAAAAGCCATGGGAAGAACCTCCTTGGTACGTCTCTTCCTGTGTCGTGCTGCTGTGAATAAGTGCTGTCTTAGATACTTTTCTATTGTATGCTAAGACACCAAGACCAAGGCAACTTAAAGAAAAAGTTTATATGGGGCTTACTGTTTAAGGGGTCAGAGTCCATGACCGCTATGGGGTGGAGCACGGTGCTGGAGCAGTAACTGAGAGCTCACATCTCGAGACACAACCACAAGACAAAGAGAAAGCTAGATGGGGGTGTCCCAGGCATTTAAAACCTCAGAGCCCACCACAGAGACACACCTTTCCCAACAACACTGTACCTCCTAATCCCTCCCAAACATCTCTACCAATTGAGGACCAAGCACTCAAATATATGAACCTGTGGTGACCATTCTCAGTCAGACTCACACCAGCTTCTCCTCCACGACAATGGATTTGCAGGGGTCCTTTGGTGACTTCACATTTTCTTCACAAATAATAACTACCTTAGTTACTTTTCTATGCCTGTGGCCGAGCACCTGACGAAGGCAGCTTAAGGAGAAAGGATTCATTCTGGCTCACGGGTCCAGGGTGCAGCCTGTCATGGGGGGAAAGCAAACCCAGAGCTTGAGGTGGTTGTCACACTGCACCCAGTCAGGAAGCAGGATACGCATTGTCTTTCAGTGACTTCCTCCTCCTTAGCTAGACCATGACCCAGTTTATGAGCTGGTGCTGCCTACGTCCAGGGCGGGCCTTCCTACCTCAACTAACCCCTGCAGACAGTCCCTAGGCTTATCTCCTAGGTGACTCGAGATCTTATCAAGTTAATGCTACTAACTAACCAATAGTCGAAACTTGCTGCATGACAAGAGCATAGCAGTCCCCCAATTGCAACTCTACCCTAATTTCTTCAGTTGTGGCTTAGTCCCCAACGCACAGTGTTCAACTTGGGATTTTTATTTATTTATTTATTTTTAATTAAAAATTTCCACTTCCTCCCCTCCTTCCATTTCCCTCCCCCTCCCCATCCCCCTCCTCCTCCCTCTCCAGTCCAAAGAGCAGTCAGGGTTCCCTGCCCTATGGGAAGTCCAAGTTCCTCCCCCCTCTATCCAGGTCTAGGAAGGTGAGCATCCAAACAGACTAGGTTCCCACAGAGCCAGTACATGCAGTAGGATCAAAACCCCGTGCCATTGTCCTTGGCTTCTCAGTCAGCCCTCCTTGTCCGACACATTCAGAGTCCGGTTTGATCACATGCTCCATCAGTCCCAGTCCAGCTGACTTTGGTGAGCTCCCATTAGATCAGTCCCACCGTCTCAGTGGGTGGGTGCACCCCTTGCTGCCCTGACTTCCTTGCTCATGTTCTCCCTCCTTCTGCTCCTCATTTGGACCTTGGGAGAAACTTGGGTTTTTTTAACTGCTCTAAAAACAATGTCCATTCAACCAAAGCCACACCTCAAGTGCTGACTCTCGATCTCTCCCAAGCTAGTGATGCGCAGTCTGGTACTACTTTAGATTGGCTATGAAGTGAGTCCTAAAAGGCTCCTGTGTCGGGGCTGGTCCAGGCTGGCAGTGGGAGCTGCAAGACTTTTGAGAGATAGATCCCAGTGGAAGGAAGTTAGGTCACTGTGGATGAACCCTTGGAGAAGGACGATGTCAGGACCTTAACCTTTCCTCTCTACTTCCTGATCAGTGTGGTTTGAGCAGCCTCTTTCACCTCCTGTTCCCGCCTTGATGAATGAGTTCACTGCAGACCGGAAGGCAAGGTGACCTGAAACCTCTGAAGTCCAAATCTAAATAAACCTTTCTTCTATCTAAGGCATTTTTCTCGGGTATTTTGTCATGGAAAGCACAGTAACATAAATGTTCTCTCTTAATGGTGGACAGCAAGAAGCCAGCCTCCCTCATCCTTGAGCCTACAGAAGCAACTCACTACGCATGGTGTGCAGATGTCTGGGACAGGTGGGATGCTGTGAATGAATCTGTAGTTCAGATAGGTGTTTATTTCTAGTTTATGTGTGTAGGTGTGTTGCCAGCATGTGTGACTATTCCCTACCTGTATGCAGTGCCCCCTAGAGGCCAGAAAAGGCATCAGATCCCTTGAGACTGGAATTACAGTTTAGATGTCTTGTGGGTACTGGGAAGAAGACCCAGGTCTTCTGGAAGGGCAGCCACTTACCTTAGCCTCTGAGCTATCGCTCCAGCCCCACCTTTTTGCTTCTGCACAATTTTAAAACTCTTTTCGGGGTGTGTGTGTGTCTTAAGTGTGGAGTTCAAAGAACGACCTTTGAGAACGTGTTTTCTTTTCCCACCATGTGGGTCTGGGATCAAACCCAAGTCTTCAGGCTTAGTGAAAACAGTCCCCACCCACGGATTCATCTCACCAGGCGGCAGGTTTCTTTACACTTATCTTTCATTTATGTGTATTTGTCTGTGAGTGTGTGCACACACGCTCACAGAGGACAAGAGAGTATCAGATCCCCTGGAGCTGTGCCCACAGGCTGTGGAGAGCCTCCCTGTGTGGTCGTGAGGACCTAAACTTGGGTGCTCAGCGAGAGGAATATGTGCTCCTGTCAGCTGCGCCATCTTGGTGGCCTTCAGATTTTTTTTTCGTAGGCTACATAGCCATGCTAAACTACGCATGCAGAGTGGGGGTCCCATAGGTTTTGTTATATTGGCTTTTTGAGACAGGGTCTCTCTCTTATGTAGCTCTGGCTGTCCTTGAACTCAGAGATTCACCTGTTTCTACCTCCCAAGTGCTGGGATTAAAAACTTGTATCACCATGCCAGGCTCAGTTGGGTTCTTTGTTTTATTTTTGTTTGGTTTGGTTTGGTTTTTTAAGACAGGATTTCTCTATGTATCCCTGGTTGTCCTGGAACTCACTCTATAGACCAGGCTGGCCTTGAACTCTGCCTATTTCTGCTGGGATAAAAGATGTGTGCCACCATCGCCTGGCTTTCAACTGGGTTCTTATTCCTGAAGTAAAGGGGTGCTCTGCCTTGTTCTGAGTTTCTGGAACAGCACAGCGCAGCCGACCAACAAAGCACAACGTTCAGAAAGAGGGTGCAACCCTAAGCTTGAGTTTTGATTTCAAGAAGTGCTGACCCTGGGGGAATTTGAATTTCTGCCAAACAGCGTTTTTATTCTATTTTTAATGGGGTTTTGCCTTATTTCATCCTCTGATGGAAAAGAGAGTGCATTTTGTTCAAATTTCACCAGAGAGAGAACATGGGGACAGGTGAATCCCTAGAGTTGGCTGGCCAGTTGGCCTAGTCGAGTCAGGGAGACCTTGCTTCAGAAAATGAGGTGGGCAGTTCCTAAAAGATGACACCTGGCATTAGCCTCTGCCCTTCACACACACACACACACACACACACACACACACACACGTGTATTCACACAAAGATAGTGGGTTCATGAGATATTTGCTGTAACTAAGGCATAAACCGAGCATGGGAAGCTCCTGGCAGATTCTCCACCTCCCAAAGACACAGGTCCCATCTCCAATCTGCTTTTTGCAAGTGGTGGGGCTTGGACGTGAAGGAGCAGAACAAACTCCATTTTAGAATTCCATTTTAGACAGGGCCTAAGTAGGGGATGAACTCAGCTCCAGGAAAAGTCACAGACAATCCCAAGAAAGTCTACAAACTGCCAGGTGTGTGCCCCGCGTCATCGTCACCCCGTCCCCAGTCAGGGCGACCCAGGTGGGCCAGCCAATAAGAAACTTGGGTAAATGACATCTGCCAGCCCTAGGTGTCCTTGCGACTATTGATAGCTGCTGTTTGGAAGTTTCCCTAGACCTCAGCCAATGAATTTAAAGGTTGCATACCCCACCCTGAAGCACCAAGGGTTATATCACCCTTTAAAATCCCACTCCTGCCCATTTTCCTCCACCCGCTGGTCTGGGCTCGAGCCTGTAATCAATGAACAAACCCTGGGTGTTTGGATCAGATACCTGCTCTGTGGTGGTCTTGTTTGGAGACCTCGTGACTCAAGATCAGAGTCAAGGGTGAGCAGGGAACCCAAGACACAGATGGAACAACCCGGTCTGAGTCCACACTAGATAAACTGGATAAAGCTGAGACAGCTCAGCCAGTCCCCCACCCCGGCCAAGCCCAGCTATAGTTTATGTTAGTTAGCAAGTAACCTGGAAGCGTCAGGGAAGCCCTGGGACCCAGATCTAAGCAGGAAGATGGAAGCCAAGGCCACTAAGGCCAGTCTCTGGCTGGCTTACATGTGTGTGGGGGGGGGGGGGGAGTAAGGCTTTGGAGTTAGGGCTCAGTGGTAGAGCCATGAGCCAAGCCTAGCATCCCCCATGAGGAACCAAGGGCGTGGTTTCCAGGTCATTTGTGGACATGAGCAATATCTGGGCTTGCCCAGCAATGTAGTAGGAGGTTGATAAGCTCTTTTCGGCTGCACCCAGTTTATCTGAAGTGTGGAGTCAGACAAGGTCACAGAGCACCAGCCTCTCCTCCGTGTTCAGAGCGATGGGGAGCTTGCTGCAATGTGCAAGTTCCTGAGTTTAACGCCCCTCCCCGTACTGAATTTAAACATTTTTGTTAACGTTTTATTTTCTTTTTAATGTGTGCAGGTGGGGAGGATGAGGAGGTACGTGTATGTCTTGGCCTGATCTGTCAGAGAACAACTTGCAGGATTTGATTTCTCTCCTTCTACCCTGCTGGTCCTAGGGGTTGAACTCTGGTTGTCAGGCTTGGAGGCAGACACCTTTACCAGCTGAGCCACCTTGCCAGACTTATCCCCGTCTTTCTTCCGCCTGCCCCCAGCACTGAATTTTTTTAAAGCAAAAAGAAAGAAAGGGAGGAAGGAAGGAAGGAAGGAAGGAAGGAAGGAAGGAAAAGAAAGCAAGCAAGCAAGCAAGAAAGAAAGAAAGAAAGAAAGAAAGAAAACTGAGTGTAGTAATTGACACTTGTAGTTCCCATACTCAGGAGACAGAGGCAGGGAGGGTCTGGAGACTGAGGCCAGCCTGGGCTACAGGGTGAGAACCAGTCCCAGTAACGAAGCTGCTATGGGCATAGCTC